AGCTCTAAGTGATTGATGTGAAGTAGACTCTCTCCCATCGACCAAGTGCTGGCCCATGATAGATCGTCTAGGTGTGCTCCCCAACCCAGTGTTGAAGCATCTGTTGTGAGCATAGCTGCTGAAGAGGGGCGAGAAAACACGACTCCACATTGGAGATTGTTCGGAGCTAGCCACCACAGGAGCTTGTCGATAATTAACTGAGTTACTGGAATCATCTTTGATAGAGGATCTTTGCAAGGGCGAAAGTGGTTCAGAAGATGGAGCTGTAAGGGACGCATGTGCATCCTGCACCAAGGAACCAAGTCGACGAGACTTGCCATGAGGCCCAGTAGGCGGAGCCAAGCTTTCGCTGGGAGGATTGGAGATGACCTGAAAATCCTGATGTAGTCCCAGAGTGTCTGACATCTTTCCCCAGATGGCATCGCTCTGCCTGTTGTCATGTCTAGAACTGCTCCAAGATAGGTCGGTTGTTGTGTTGGAATTAGAGAGGACTTCTCGACATTGATGATGAAGCCCAGATTGAGGGTAAGTTGAATGGTCTGTCGGAGGGCATGTACCGTGTCTTGGAAAGTGGGACCTACTATGAGCCAATCGTCCAGGAACAGGAATATGTGGATCCGCTTTTGATGCAAGAAAGCTGCTACTGCTTTGGCTATTCTTGTAAAGACCCGTGGGGCTGTGGAGAGGCCAAACGGTAGGCAACAAAACTGGTACCCGGAATCCCGGTATAAAAACTGGAGAAACTTATGATGATCTGCGTGGATAGGTACATAAAGGTAGGCATCCTTCAGATCGATGAAAGTAGCCCACCAATTCCTTTTCAGGGACTGGAGGACCGTGGAAAGTGTCTCCATGCGAAAGTGTTTGGCTTTGATGTAACTGTTGAGAGGTCGTAGGTTGATGATGAGGTTGTACAGGAGGGTTGCTGGTGAATTCCAGACAGTACCCTGTCGAGATAGTTTGAAGAACCCAGATGTCCGAGGTTACGTGAGACCATCTCTGACTGAACTCCCCAAGACGACCACCTACTGGACCCAAAGCAGGAGGGATGAAAACTGTGTTGTAGTCAAAAACCCTTGTCACCTCGCGACCCCCGGGACTTAAAGGGCCGCGAATATCTGGGGGGCTGTCTCCTGGTGTAGCTCGAGGAAGACTAAGAAGCCTGATGCCCCTGATTCCTGGACTGGTTTGAACCCTAGTCGGTAGAAAACAGATGTTGTTACTTCTTGCTGGGCTGACTGGGGACAAATGAAGATGGACGTTTGGCTGAACGCCGACAAAGATCCAACTTGTCTTCAGCTTTTAGTCTCGTCGAACCTGTTGTCAAAAAGATCACGCCTGCACATGCGAGTCGACCTGTTGTTCCGAAGCATGCATGTGCTCCTGTAGACTGCTGTAAGAATGCGGAATTTGTCGGGGAGAGGCCGTAACTCTCGTTGGAGAAGTGTTCGTCCCCCGAGAATTTCCAACAGCAGAACCCGGGAGATTGGACCCAGTCGTAGCGGAGGAATTATAACGTTTGGATTGACTTGAGGGTAACTTTCCGGTAGAACAGCTTGAGCTAGAAACAGTTTTCTTTTTGATCTTGGCAGAGTCCGCCATTTTGTAAGCACAGCGAGAACAGCTAACGAGAGATCTATGTCTGTTTGCAACAGAACATAGGGCTTTTCCACATTATGCTTTTTTTTATCAATAACACATCCCAGACTATGCATGTACAACGTTTCAAAATTTAGCATGTAGCAGACTTGTATGACTCATGACTCTCGACTCGGAGTCACATTTTTAATGACTCGGACTCGGAATTGAGTCACTTTGACTTACGACTCGGACTCGGGGCTACGGACTCGGACTTGGACTCGAACTGACTTGTGACTCGACAGAAATTACCGCACTGCACACGCGCACATACGTAAGTCAATCGTTTTCTTTACTGTGCAATACATGTACAGGGCACTCGATGCGGTGCGTGCGTGGCCGTAGCCGGTTACCGATATATTGATTAAAGAAATCAATGTACCGTAACCTGTACCCCGCCGTCTGCACGTAATACTGCATTGGTGCAAGATTGATAGGGTAAGGTACCAGACTTTTCTTGTCAGACGTCCTGTCATTCACACGTGTTTTGCTGTCGCATCGCGATAACGCGATATGAATAGTCTGCTGATGGAAAAATGGAAATTTACAGCACCTGAAATGTACGTATTTCCAATACTATATCAAAGGTGACTCTGAATCTCTGAATTCCCTAATATGTACATTTTTCCAATACAATGTTAGAGGTGACTCGTGACTCGGACTTGGACTCGACCTTTGTGACTCGTGACTCGGATTCGGACTCGACCTGGAGGACTCAGGACTCGGACTCGAGAAATGTGACTCGGACTCGGACCTGGACTCGATGTTTCGTGACTCGAATACAAGTCTGGCATGTAGCGTCTGTGAGATATATTATCTTCCAAAAGAAATAAATCTATATTAAATCAGACGTGTCGGACTACCTTCGTACGCAATTTTGACCCATTCGGACTGATGCATGTAGTTTTCTCAATATGAGACTTAAAAAATGCATCATTATGATAGCGCCACATGCCCTACAATGACGTCATCTTGATAACGCTTGTCAATGCACATTTTTGCATTGTGGTCTTGGTTTGTACCAATCTTAAAGTCAATCCAGTAAGAGGAAGTGTTAAATTGTAAAGTGGAATGAAATTGTAAATATTACAAAAATCATAAAAAAATCATGCGATGACGTCATGGTGACGTCATTTCAGATTTAGCATACCAATACCATTATCTAGCTATCCACCAAGTTTCACGACGATCGGACTTCCCCTTATATGTGTTTAAAAATCAAATTTTTGATGACGTTTTGATGACGTCACACATTTTTCAAAATTGTGTATATATATACATGTATACCCATTACCTAACAAACATAATACCAGACTTGTATTCGAGTCACGAAACATCGAGTCCAAGTCCGAGTCACATTTCTCGAGTCCAAGTCCGAGTCCCGAGTCCTCCAGGTCGAGTCCGAGTCCGAGTCACGAGTCACAAAGGTCGAGTCCAAGTCCGAGTCACGAGTCACCTCGCGTTATCGCGATGCGACAGCAATACACGTGTGAACAACAGGACGTCTGACAAGAAAAGTCTGGTACCTTACCCTATCAATCTTGCACCAATGCAGTATTACGTGCGGACGCAGGGTACAGGTTACGGTACATTGATTTCTTTAATCAATAAATCGGTAACCGGCCACGGCCACGCACCACCGCATCGAGCGCCCTGTACATGTACATGTATTGCACAATAAAGAAAACGATCGACTTACGTATGTGCGCGTGTGCAGTGCGGTAATTTCCGTCGAGTCACAAGTCAGTTCGAGTCCAAGTCCGAGTCCGTAGCCCCCAAGTCCGAGTCATTAAAAATGTGACTTGAGTCGGACTCGAGTCCGAGTCATGAGTCATACAAGTCTGCATAATACAAAAAGAATTTTGAATTTTGCATGTTGCGGTCATAAGATATGGCTTAAAGGTCCAAAAATTCAAAAATCATATAAAATCGTACGATGACGTCATCATGACGTCACCTCAATTTTTACTTATAACACATCCTGGTCTATCCACATACCGAGTTTCAACCCAATCGGACTTACAGTTCTGTAGATATAGGACTTCAAAATATGCATGTTTGCGATGACGTCATCATGACGTCACCTCACTTCCCGGTCTACCTACATACCAAGTGATCATTCTGTAGATATAGGACTTTGTAATGAATGATGAAGTCACGTGACCCATGATGACGTCATCATGATGTCCATCTTCGGGACACATCTTTGCTAGAACTATGCCTATGCCGACTTTGAATAATGTATGACAAAGATTAATGCCAAAAGTGGAGGCCAGAAAAGACGTGCACAAAGTCAATGGACTTTGAAATGGAACAAAAAGAAGAAGAAGAAGAAGAAAGAAAAAAAAAAACCAGCACAAAAACAAAGGCTTTTCCGCATTTTGCGGAAAAGCCAAAAATGTACGTCTTTACACTACGCGTCACTGAAAAAAACTAGGACGAGCTATTGCGTTACAGGGTCCTTTGTGGGCATGGGGCATGCAGTGGACAATGTGGGTGTGGCTTGGGCACTATTCTTTTCAGCGAATGTTTGTGCACATGCGCGCTGATATGCAAAGAGGTGAGGTGTTTTCTGTAATGGAATGAACTCGTCCCTTTTGCCTGCTTGAGGGCACCTCCCCGCTGATGCTCAATAATAAGTGGTGATGCTATGCTTGACTGCATTTTACCAAATATAATTCACCTTATTTCTTTAGGAATTATCTGGGTGTCTACATGCATACTGTATATAGGGCTGAAACGATACACCTGGGTCATGATACGATATGTATCACGATACATGCCAAACGATACGATAGGTATCACGATATATATTAAAACAACATTTTGCAAAATCACTGAAAACAACAGTAACACACAATTCAATTAATAAAAACAACAAAATAGTGGGTAAAATGAGCGAAATATTATTACTGCGCTCTAATAATACATGTGCAAACCTGACAAACCAATCTTTCGACGCTACGACGCGAGCCATGCTTGGGGCATGCGGAGCCAGCGAAATATGAACCGGGACGATCTGAGTTGTGTTTTTGCAGCCAGCTGCACGTTATTTTTGGCACATCGCCACTACCAAAAGTATGTGGCACTTCTTTTCTTAGAACTTAGGCACAGTTGTATGTATCGTTTTGTATCGTTATTTTAACATTCGTATCGATAAATCGTATCGTATCAAAATATCGCAATATGGATATCGATGTATCGTTTCAGCCTTAACTGTATATGTCTACAAGTCTGAAAGTCATTTGCTGTCAGGAATGTATGTTTTCTTTAGAAACTATTGGTTTAATTACATATTCCTTAAATGTTGAATTCCTCATTCTGTACGTCAAAATGAAATGTTTAAAAGTCTGCATACTCACTCTTTGAGGATCGATGGAACTCTTGAATACTCCATCTTTTGCCTTGATGACAGCTCCCCTAATGCGATGGTTGATATTTACAAAAGACCTACCAAAGTCTTTGCTAGAAGTGCAAATAAAAATCAACACAGCACTTATTAAAACTACCCACAAGACTTTACTTTTTTTTAAACAGGTATCGCCAAAACAAAAGGCTAAGCACCACTCAAGGTGTGGTTTACAAACTAGAAAGAACAACTAGAGGTCTATGTCTGTTTGCAACAGAACATAGGGCTTTTCCGCATTATGATTTTTTTTAATCAATTATATGCCCTGAATATGTATGAACATAAAATCTGTCAAAGTTAGCCGAAAATCGGCTAAAACGGTCACTGTGGACAGGATTTGACCTCGGCAATACGATGTATGTGCGTGTGTACATGGTCTTTGCTTGGACAAAGAGTGATCTAAATGAATTACTGGCAAAAAGTCGAAAATGCACTTTGAAAATCGACAATTTTTTTTTAATTTTTGATGAAATCATCGTGACGTCACTTCGGACTTTGCATACTAGTACGATTATCTACCTACCCACCAAGTTTCATGACAATTGGACCTTTCCTTATATGAGTTTTGAAAAATCGCATTTTGATGACGTCATATTAATGACGTCACACATTTTTGAAGTTTTGTGCGAATACCTATTACCTAACAGACCAAATGCATAAAAGAATTTTGCATTTTGCATGTTGCGTTCGGGAGATATGGCTAAGGGTCCAAAAATCAAATATTCATATAAAACATCAGGATGACGTCATCATGACGTCACCTCATTTTTAATCTATAACACATCCTGGTATAGCCACATACCAAGTTTCAACCCAATCGGACTTACATTTCTGTAGATATAAGACTTCACAATATGCACGTACATTTTTAAAAATAAAAAAAAAATTAGGTGATGACGTCATCGTGACGTCATAGTCTTGTCATAATTTTTGTATGAGGGTCTTCCTTGGCTGTAACTTTGATGACGATTCCAGATCGCCAAGTTATAAAAATGGTGAATTGAAAACGTGTACAAAGTCAATGGGTTAAAAATCCCACAGCAGAAAAACTGCACCTTTAAATACGTGATTTGCCTTTAAACTGAAACATTTTTATAAAATGTTACTTGCTATTCTAACTCTTAGGAATATTTTCAATCAAATGACAGGCGTAAAAACATACGATTTCTTTTTCCTTCTCATAGTAATTCTCGGCCGAAGTTCAGAACTACTCAGTAAGATATATCAGTGTTGTATAGGGAAAGACTTGTGGAGAAAGCTGTGTACAAAGTATATGAGAATAATTAATTATTCATAAATCCATAATAAATCACTTGATGACGTCACCATGACGTCACTCTTCGGGACACATCTTGGCTATAGGGACTATGCTTATGCCAACTGTCAGTGATGTCTGACAAAGATTAATGCCAAAAGTTCTATAATACGTCCCTGTCTATGCGCATGCATGAACATAAAATCTGTCAAAGTTAGCCGAAAATCGGCTAAAACGGTCACTGTGGACAGGATTTAAACTCAGCAACACGTGCGCTGCAGGCTGACTGACATTCGATGTATGTGCCTATGTACATGTACAACGTACGTGCATGTACATGTACACATTGTGGACGTCCTGTGCATGTTTTAAAGCAGAGGTATTGTCAACCTGAAGTTTTAAGCGTGCGCAGGGCATGTCCGAGTTTGCTTATTGCCTCGAAGCTTTGAAATGTTTTAGACCTACCCTTAAATCGACAATTTAAGTAAAAACTAATTTAAAAACTGCCATGGTTGATTTTTCAGGAATTTTCAAAAGAAAAAGAGTCTTTTCATTATAACTTCCGGTTTGATGACGTCATCTGCCTAAAACTTCGCACACGTCTTAAAGGGGTCAAGGTCATCATATACACCAATATTTAGGCGATTCCGACAAACTTCGCCACAGACATCTATTCAAAATACATTTTTGAAAATTCTCAACCTGTCGCTAGAGGGCGCTCGAAGATTGCATGACGTCATCGGTAGATGATTTGAAGAATACTATCGGCCAAGAGACTAACACCGTTAAAAGCAAGTTCATATCTATTACCACTTTTAAATAATAAGCCACTTCCGGTTTTGGCCTTTTTCGACCGGAAGCAAGGGTCACGTGATTTCACGCACACTGAATGAAATAAAGACCTCAACCTACTCTACCACTTGCCGGCAACAGAATGCTGCGGACGCGTACGGTTGATTTCTTATGCATTTTTAAATATTAAAAGTGCCACAATTTAATTGCCTATAAATTAACACGGGATGACGTCATCATGACGTCATCATTCCACAATGTTGTTTGAATTAGGGTCTTTGCTTGGATAAAGATTGGTGTAAATGAATAACTGGCAAAGAGTCGAAAATGCCCTGTGAAAAGCGACAATTTTTTTTAATTTCTGTGTACAAAGTCTATGGGAAAAATTAAATATTCAAAAATCTATAATAAATTAGTCGATGACGTCACCATGACGTCAATCTTCGGGACACATCTTTGCTATAGAGACTATGCTTATGCCAACTTTGAATGATGTCTGACAAAGATTAATGCCAAAAGTGGCGTGTAGAAAAAACGTGTACAAAGTCTATGGGCTTTTGGGAAAAAAAGAAGAAGAGGAAGAAGAAGAAGAAGAAGAAGAAGAAGAAAGAAAAAAAATCAGAACAAAAAGAAAGGCTTTTCCGCAATAATGCGGAAAAGCCAAAAACGAACAAAAGAAGTCATAGTGGCAAGGCAATATATGTGTAGTTCTTTTTAAGCGTGAAAGAAGTGTGGGTAGAAGTGTAGGTAGAAGAGAATCCAATTGTAGAGAATCAAAATGTACGGAGTTCCAGAGAGAGAAAGAAATCAGGGAAAAGTTGACAAGTATCTCATCATACTAACCTTTGAAACTGTCACAGTGAATGTATGTGACCAGATAGTCAGTAGAATGCTTGAAAGGTCAGTCAAGGGGGACTAGTACATGTAAATCTTAAAATGTCTACATCAATTGTTTAAATAGTATTCTTAGATCAAAAATAAACTTGTCCTTTTGTGAAGAAGGCAATCTTGAAAAGAAAATGCAAGGAAAAAGAAGAAAAAAAATCTTGAAAGAAATGAAAAATTTACTGACCTTATCCAAAGCTGAGATTGTTCAGAAAAGAAAGTGTATTCCATGGTTGATAATGCCATCAGCTCCTGGAAGGCAAGCATGACAAAATAAATAATTCAACACTTGGATAATTTTGTAGAAGGCATAATTTTGTTTTTCTCATACATGTCATATGAAAGAAATTTCAATATTAAAAGGGAACAAATGCGTGTTTGGCCGGTTTAATGTTTAAGACCAGTTGGAGTCTGGATGCTGATAATTACCCGAGCCGAAGGTCTAAAAATTAAAAAAATTTGGTCCAAAAGTCAAAACAAGTCAACAATTATACATTTCCAATGATTTTGTTCAACAAGTTTGTACTTCATGTTTTTCGAAACACCCCTCGGGGAATGTTTTACGTCCCTCTCGCGAAAAGTCGCGAACAACTCTTTATATGGAGGAGTCGTCATCCTGCACAATGTGGCGCAGAAAGCAGCTGTGCCGGTATACATGTATTGTGAATTTAGGACTGTGAAATACTGACTCACCGGGAGTACCGTATGTGCATGCCTACGTGAGGATTGCAAACGTTCACACAATAAAACGTTAAAGGCACAATTCCAGTGACACTGGAAAAGTGTTTAAAACCAACCAGCCAGTGCTTATCAACCAGTGCTTATCAATACCGCAAACAATAATGGTACTACACAAGTGTGAGGTGACACAAAATACTGCTGTGCATTCGTCACAAGTTTTTGCAAGGTCAGAGTTCCAACCAACAAAGATTTTATCACCAGTCTACTCAGCTAATGTCAAAGATCGTTCAAGACCATTTTCTACTTCAATTTCATCAGAGTTGTGGAGTTATTTTGTGAAATTCATCTTGGATTTCTTGCTTCTCTGAACTGAAAAGTGAAGCCATTTTGCATCATGACCAGTGAACCATGAGTACCAGATGCCATTGTTGCGATGGCTGTTTATCTCACTAAGCTGCAACTGCTGGCCACACTGCTATTGATTAAGCCTGTTGCGGCCGCGGAGGCCAAGAACCGGTTCCATTTTATCGGGTCAGGTACCCGTAACCGAATTTATAAATTTGGACGCAACGTCCGAGACAAAAAAAACCACAAGTACATGCATTCAAATATCACTAACAGAAGATTTACAAAGTTCAGAGTGAGTTTACCGACGATTCCAAAACTCCATTTTGCGGTTTATATTTTGTTTTCAGTTTTATTTAGACCATCTTTGATGCGTCTCCAGAAGTCCGAAATTGGCGAAACACGATAGTATCAACCCATTGTTTGTGTTTGTAATAAAGCTTCTTGTAGCCGCTAGCCAGGAAATCAACTTCTCTGATGCGCCGCAGATGGCGGGTAGTACCCATAACAAGTCCGTAACCTAAGATTTACAAAGTTCAAAGTGAATTACCAACCATTCAAAAAACTCCATCTTGCGGTTTTTAGTTTGTATTCAGTTTTGTTGACTATCTTTGAAGTTTGAATTGATGCGTCTCCAGAAGCACGAAAGTTGACCCATTGTATGTGTTTTTAATAAGTTTCTCGTAGCGGGCCGCCAGGAAATGATCTTCTTTGATGCACCGCAGATGGCGGAATAAACAAACGATACTAAGTGATTGGCGTTTTAATTGCAGTCACGCACAATAAAAAAAGATGACAAAATGTAAGCCCAAGTTACTTTGCTGTGTCTGTGTGATTATTTCTTGTCCCTGACATTCCCTGTCTCATAACCTTGCTGTCCGGTGATCATCATGCCACGTTCAGGAAGTAGCCACGTTTGGTCACATTTTGAGAAAAAGTCAAAACTGTTTGTAAATTAATTGTTTTTTTGGGGGGAGGGCTTTTACGGGTACCCGGGTACCCGACCTTGACCGGGAAAGGGTACCAGTTCCAGTCAAAACCGTAAACAAACAGGCCTACTATTGATATTCATCAGCTGTGGTCATGGAGATCCCTTTGTTCCTTCTGGATCAACTGTCAAAGCCAGGACTGGACATGCCATGTACCATGGGCAGAGAATTCTGTACTACAGTAATTCCCACTGTACCTTCCAATTTCAAATCATCAGGTCAGGAGACATTCAACCAAATCCAGGTCCTTGACCAGCCCCATGACCTTTACAATTCTACCATTTTAAACTGTGTCCTGCTAAATGCCCGCAGTGTGGTCAACAAAACTCTCAATCTTCAGACAGAACTGACCCTTAACCGCATCGACATCGCTTGCATAACTGAAACCTGGCTATGCCTTGACATCATGGACTCCGAAATTTTGGACACCTCACAGCACCAATTATTCAGGCGCGACAGAAATCGCAATGGGGGTGGTGTGCTCTTTGCATGCAACTCAAATCTAATGCCATCACGACAAGATGAATTTGAGCCCTCTTCCGACATCCAAGCCAACTTCAAAGAATGTGAACTCATCTGGGTCCAAGTCATTCTTCCACACAACAAGGGCAAACTACTCATCGGGACTTGCTATCGACCTCCATCCTCAACAACAGGATTTGATGAAGCACTTTCCTTCTCGATCAACCGCATCCTTCCCTGCTCACACCAATTTCAAGCAATCCTCCTTCTCGGTGACTTTAATTTACAAATACCCTGCTCGGCATCCTCTGATGAACACAACCCCCCATCTCTCAACACTCGCTCCGCTGCTGCTCTTAACATCATTGAATCCCTGAACATGTCTCAACTGGTCTCCTTCCCTACAAGACAAAATCCACATGGTGACGATTCCATGTTGGAACTCATTTTCTGTAATGACCCAAGCTGGACTCAGAATATCCACAAAGAACCTGGTCTGGGCAACAGTGACCATGACTCTGTTCACTTCCAGATTTGCACAACATCCAAATACCAGTTTCTCCGCCGTACCTTCCACCAATTCCACAAGGTCGACAAACATGATTTTCAGATGACCCTACAATGTATTCCGTGGCAGCTGTTCTTTGAAGATGACGTAGACGAGACATGGGACACTTGTGACACTTGTCACTTGTCCATGCGGCAGTGAAGGATGTCGTTCCCATCGCCACCTCCAAAGGACACCGCCGGTCCCCATGGATTACAAGTGACATAGTCAAAGCGGCGTGAAGAAAGAACCGAGCATATGGACGTGCTGTGAAGAACAAGAACAATGCCAACTTATGGGACAAATACAAAGAATTAAGATCGCTGGTTAATCAATTGACAAGGAATTCCTACAATGATTATGTTCATAGTTTAGCTCTAGATTGTAAAGACAACCCCAAGCATTTTTGGTCTTTTGTTAACGGTAAGAGGAAGCACCAATCAATACAACTTTTAATTGCAACAACCAAACCTTCTGTGATCCAAGTGCAATTGCTAATGCTTTCAATGTGAATTTCCAAAGTAACTTTTCTCCACAGCAATCCACTGCCCATCCTGGTATTAGCCCTCTCCATAATTTTCATGTTTCTCAAGCAGATGTTATGAAGGCCATCGATAAACTTAATCCATCCAAACCCCCCTCCCCCCCCCCCCCCCCCCCCGGCTTGGATGGCATATCTCCAAAAATTCTAAAACTAGCTGGCACTTCAATTGTTCCAACATTAACTAACATATTTAATCTTAGTCTTTCAACTAGTGTAGTTCCCCACACCTGGAAACAGGCGAATGTTGTTCCTTTGTTGAAACACGGCGATAAATCTCACATTGTTAATTATAGACCTATTTCCCTTGCTTCTGTTCCTTGTAAAATGCTTGAAGGTTTTATAAGCAAGAAACTACTGGTACTTGACCATTCTTCTCAGCATCATATCATCCCCGACTCCCAACATGGATTTCAGCCCAGACGTTCCTGTACTACTCAGTTAACCACCCACTTTGACACCCGAGCTCTTGATGTTTCCAATCCTCCTGGAATTGATGTAATCTTTCTTGACTGGTCTAAAGCCTGTGACAAGTGTGACCATTCAATCCTCCTTCATAAGTTACACCAATAAAACACACTTTCATGGATCAGTAATTTTCTTTCCAACAGAGAACAGCGTGCAGGGGTGGATCCAGGATTTTCCAAAAGGGGAGGGTGTGAAATATTTGAAACCTGTGCGGGAAGTTATGATGTGACACACCAGCTCGCGAAGCCACGGCGTGGGGTTCGGGGCCCGCCTAAGGGCCCCGAAACATTTTGAACTTTAGAAGCTCTCTGGTGCATTTTAGAAAAAATTTGGGGATCTCTGGGGTAGATTTTTCCTCAAAATTCAGAGGAGATTTATTTTTGTTTTAAAATAAATATTGAATAATCATTTTAAAAAAACATTACAACTTCCTAAACTGGAAAAGTATATGGATTCAAGTTGAGAAATGAGTCAGAAGAACCAACAAAATCTGATTCCTATCACATTCCTATCGCGCCGAGTTATCGAGACTGTCCATCAAAACTTTTTGATAAAAATTTGCCTTACCCTATTCTGTTCGTGCCAAGTGTTCTAGACTTGCTGGCTTCATACGGTGCACTGTAAAATAAAAAAAATGCTGAAGTTCTTCTCAAATTATATCGTTCTCTCTGCAGGCCCATCTTGGAATACGCCGCGCCGGTTTGGCTACTTCACCAGAAGAACCACATCCAATGCCTTGAGGCAATTCAACGTTGCTTCACTAAATCTTGCTTCCATTACAATGTTGCTATTTCTCTTTCCTATGAACAACGCCTGTCCAAACTTCACTTGCCTCCCCTCTACAACAGACTTGTATACCTCAGTGCTTCCTTTGTCATTAAATGTCTCTACAATCACATTTCTGTTTCTTCACATTTTCTCCCACAAGCCAACACTAGGAAAACCCACCCCCTCCTCTTCAAACATCAGTACAGCCGGACAAACTGTGTCAAATTTTCTTTGTTCACCCTCTTTCCCAGGTTTTTTAATTCACTTTCCACCGTTGTTAGAGACCTTTGCCTGGAACGTTCCCCCAAACCTCTCATCAATTCTTTACGTGATCATCTGTTCAGTCTAGACCCCATCTCTCATGCATTCTAGAGTTTTCCTCCCAAGATATTTTTATCCTGACTTCATGTTTTCATAAATCAAATTTCTCCGGCTCAACAAATTCCTTTCACTGCATATTATTATTATTAATTATTATTATAATAATGATTTGGACATACATGTAGCATGTATGCCAGCTGTTCTTTTATTTATTTATTTATTTAATTTAATCTTATCTTGTTTTATTTATTTAATTTAATCTTATTTTACTTTATTTCATTTTATTTTATTTTAGTTTATTCTAATTATTTCATTTTATTTTTATTCTATTTAATCTATTTGTTTTATTTGTTTATTTATTTATTTATTTACACTTATTGTGATTTTTAATTTTTAATTGTATTTTTAATTATATTTTGCATAACTGCTTAATTTTATAAATATTTTATTTAATGAATTTTATCCTAAATGTATTAATCACTGTTACCCAATTAGTTTGGAGAGCCCCTCGGCAGAAACTTGTTTCTTTTGGGTAATCCTGCGGGAGCTTTTTGGGTGTCGTTTTCTGTTACGTTTTCTGTTATGTTTACTACTCAGTGTTATTTGTACATGTAATTGTTTTGTCTGTAATTCACTGTTTGTAATATCCCGGAAAATGGAATAAATAAATAAACCTTTTAAGACCGGCCACGTGACGGGCTCTCGACCTATAGGAATGGGTAAACTGTCTTAGGTATTTATGAATGACTGTTAAAACTCAATTTGAGGCCAAATACAAACAATCATCATTGGTGCCATAATGTCGCTGGTATGGCAGAGAATCATGAAATCATTTTACAGACACTTCTCCCCAAACTGATTGCTGCAACACTGTCCAGTAAGGTGTTGCATTATTGGCAATAGCACGGGTTTACCCACTTGTCCCTGTACTGCCCCACAACTGCCCCATTTCTCCATGGTTGTATGGATTCATCAAGAAGTAAATCTAGTGCTGCAACTGATCCTCAAAGTGCGGTTCGGTTCGATTTTTTTTTCTTCGAACTTCGGTTCGGTTTCAGAAGTGCATACATAATCTACATGTCCTTAGTACAATGTATAGGGCTATGTATAAAAACCATAAGCCGTTCCCCTGTTTGAACAAATACATGTATGTGTGTACCGCACAAGTTGAAGGAGGAATCTCATTTTTGTTGTGTAAACAAAATACCGTAATAATTTGAGTTTATGATGTTGGGCATTGTAAATTGCTACATGTTACCTATTGCGGCCCTCAGGCTATCCCGGCCCGGCGAACTACATGTATAGGCCTATATGATCACAATTTTCCGCCACGTGCCGACTTGTTTCCCGACGAGTTCCGTCTGAGCATGCTCCGAGCAGGTCATTTTACTGTACTAAACTTATGAAATCATAAATATTTTTAGCAACAAGCTGACAAATAGCTACCGTACAAAAAAATTCAATTTTTTGATTCATACAATGTTTGTAACTTTCATCAAATTCTCATTCTGTGGACGTATCCATTAATTTTGTAAAGGGGTGCTCCACCCTCTTTTGGAAGATTACATCGTTTTTGGTATAAATTCTTTACGCAAAAAAAATATGTTGCGACGATTAAGAACTTATTCTGAACAAGGGAAAGGTTGCTGACTCCATAAAACGTATTTTTTTAAATTTTGACACGGTGAAAAAACTGAAAATGCTGGTAAATTGTGCCGAGGAAAGCACACCCTTCACTGCAAATGGTTTGGTCCACACAAACTACGTCACGCTGGAATTGAACATGGCAAGGAAGTGGGATATCGGCCGCACTGGCCAAAGAGCATGCTTTTTGAGAGAATTGCAGGTGGGTACGGATATATCCTATTACATGCCTGGCTAGAACATCACAAATAATGAAGATGAATGCGGTGACCTGTCAACATGGTAAATTCAATCATCCGTGCGCTTAAATTTTGCCCTTCCATTGCAAGTTTTAACATTCCTAGCGCTATCAACAAATACTTGCCAAACTCTTCCGAATCGACATTTGGGTTCGGTTCGGTTTGGAAGGCCAAGTTCGGCTATTTTTAGTTCAGTTCGACAGTTCAGCTGCAGACTGCAGCACTACCACGCAATACAAGTACTAATGGGTTAATGAATTATGACATCCAAATAATGTATGAGGAATGGTTCTCACCTTGCCATCTGTTCCAGTCCATATCATTGCCAAATTGAAGTTGCTGTCATTGAACATGTACTGGACAAAAAAAGCAGATTAAAAAAAGGTGTAAAATTTGCATGTTTAACAAATGCAATGGTTGCAGCATGGTATTATGCAGATTTTATGTAGATTGTAAAATGTAACGTTTGAGAATATTTCTCTATTTTAAAAGACCACATATCATAGTGCTGCGCATTTTAAAATAATTTAGTATTTGATCTCCCAACTTGAATTTGATAAAATATTCCAACAGTGACCAAAACAGTTAAATTAGTTTCTATTTAATCAAGTGTCAGATCCAGAACTGTTGTTGATCCGGAACTGTCACACTGAATGTACAGTAGCAGTGTAGGCTATAGCCCCATAAATGTGGCTTAAATACTGGACTTCCTTCGCATTAGTAAGCCACACAAGCGGTATACCAAAATGGGTGCCGGGAAGGTCCCATTGCTGGGGTAGCAGAAAATCAAACAAAAATCGGAACTATTTTGTCACTTTATAATCACCAAAGGCCAATTCTGGCATGACAGAAGGGACAGATTTACACAACCTACATGTATTTTTTTAAAGGCCTGCCACAACCAATGTGTAAGGTGTTACTTTCTTAGTTAGGTACAGTATGTATAAGGTCAAAGTAAACAATCTATATTTCAAATTAAAAAAAAATCCATAAAACTAGAGGATTCAGTGGCTGTATAGTGACAAAGTGAAATCAGATTGACGGATGGGACGGATATTACACTCCATATTTTGAAAATGACTTTTGTTGGAGAAAGTTATCTGGGAAATTTAATGTGTTTTTTTTTTTTTACAATGTAATTCAAAACATTGAAGTGGAATTACCAGGCTCATTAATGTTGTGACAGACGGAACATTTTTATGTTCTGAATAAATGTAGGCACAAGCATTTATTATTTTAAAAAAGGACATGTAGTAGGCCTATACTAAAAACCTGAAGGGTCTCCAAAAATGCAAGTTCAACCTTTTTTTTAACAGGTGATCAAAAAAATGTGACAGACAGGACAAAAATACCTAACAAATGTAGGCACAGCATTTATTACTTTTAAGGGCAAGCAGTATATTAAAAACCACAAAATATAAAGATTGGAGTGGCCCAACTATAGATTGGCCCCATCAACATGATCAATAGCTAATTTCAATGGTCCCAAGTAAAGTCAGACGTGTATCAGAGCTGTAGGGAAAGTTTTATAGATGTACATCAATGTAAACTATAGTTGGGACCTCAAAATAAAAAGATTAGAGTGGCCCAACTATAGATGGGCCCCACCCATAGCTAATTTCAATGATCCCAAGTAAAGTCAGACGTGTATCAGAGATGTTTTATAGTCACAAAGCAATGTACATGTGTAGGGCCAATGATTTTCCGTTTCAGAAAAGTGCAAATTCTGTTTTCAAAAATCCTGAATTCCGTTTCAGGCTGAAAAATTCCGTTTCACATTTATTCAATACAAAAATTGGCATTTTACATATGTATATAATGCATTATACAATGAACACAGACAATAATTCCAAGACGATAATGAAAAAGTCGTTTGGTTGGAGCGCGGGAAAACTGCCCTCAAAAAGATTGCTTTTTTTTATCAACGGCAAATCAATGTACAGACGTAGTATTTAACTTCGCCACAGTCAAGTCGTACATGTATGCACTGCACACAGCCACTGCCACACACGCAAGAAACATGCAATAGCCGTACAGGCCAATCCCATGACGTCACACACATCACTGGCCGAAGCGAAATTCATGTAGGCCTACACCATTTCGTTTTCGGGCTAACGTTAGCGGCAAAATAGGATAGTTTACGGTAGATTTTTTGACCTAAGCATGACATGCATTTCTATAGAGCCAAAGTTATATGTTATACAATTGGTTGACTGACTGCACAGAGAAAAATAAACCTACCGATGGAGCAAAAGAGACCCGCAAGAGCGTGTTGTGAGCGTGATGATTTTCACCCGTGCACTGGCCGACAGCTACGGCGTGCGTCGGGACTGTCACTCCCATGACTACGCGTACTACTACGGTAATGATCTCGTAAGATTTGCTCTGATCTTGAACGTTTTTGTCCCACCAAAAGCGTGATATAAACACCGCTCATTTGTTATATGGCTCGTCTGTTCAATCAATCATCAACCATTCATTTTGTATTCGATAAATTTTATGAAATTATGTTTTTTATGAATGAAATTACAGAAGTTATTTTGTTCAGATTCAAACTCCGTTTTCCGTTTCGAGGGGCAGATTCCGTGAATTCCGTTCCGTTTTCCGGGATTGCGGAAAATCATTGGCCCTACATGTGTAAACTATAGTTAGGACCACACAATTGGAATGGCCCAATCTATATGGCCCAATTATAGATATTGCCCCACCAGAAATGTTTCTTATAAATAACAGAAAAAAAATATTAAAAACAATCAGCAGCAAAAATCAAAACAGGTCGATTGAATTCATACATGTACAACTGACAGCATTCACATCCAATTGTGGCTTAATAGATAATTCATAACAACGACAAAAATATATTAAAAGAAAAAACATCTGACATTGGGAGACCATTCGGTTTATTGGGGGGTGGGGGGATACAAAAGCTCATTAACATTCGATCCCCATCCCATGGTTGACACGTGACGTGTGCTGAACTGAGTTTAAACCATGGAGCTATATTAAATTACTAGAGCGCTAACATCGATGTACAAAGTAATGCCTGATGGGCGCATCCATGTTTGTGCACAAACCTACAGATGGAAATCTCGAAATTTTGTATGGCTTTTGTACAGCTTTATCTGCATTTGTATTCCATACCGGTGCGTCATCGAAGCCGATACGCTCAAAACCGAAATGCACGATCAGCAAATGAGCGTTTCATTTTGCTCTACGCAAACAGCGCAACGTGTGCACGTCTCTCCACTGCAGATGCTTTTCGCCGTGACATTTTTTAACCGTCATGACGCACTTAAGTTGTTTACGTATCTTATACTTGCGCGTCACTTTTAAAATTCAATCCACCTATTTTGCTTGTGTTCTACAAACACGCACATAAATTCAAAATGTCTGCGCCCAGAGCGGCTTCAAAGCATCTCCGCGCGCAAGAATGAGTTAGCGCTCTAGTAAGTTAATATAGCTCTATGGTTTAAACGTTTTTCCTTGTTCAGGGTGGGAGTTCACCGTGTACGGTCCTCCATTTTCCATGGAGGAAGCTCCATTTGGTACTAGTTTATAATAAAGTCAGGTATCGTCCAGCGGAAAACACTCAACGCCTGCGCATGTATACGGCATTTGCCAGACTCCTACAATTTAGCGGTACGCTTGTTGTTGTGGCAGCGCTGCACGCAGCTGGCCCCCTTGACTCCAAACTATAGTTGGGCCAGCCCTAGCCCCATAATTTTGTAGTTAATAATTATGTCTAATTTTCGTGAAATTTCATGTTGAAATTTTGATACACAAACATATGCAACTAATCTGGAAAATTCACGAAAAATAGACATCTGGAAAAGGCAGCACTTTCTAATTAGCTTACAAAGAGGGTGAGTATGCTTCTAAAGCAAAAATAAACTACAAACTAAGCCTAAATGTGAAAATCAAAATTTGACAAAGTTCTACATGTTTTTGTACATGGTGGAAGTGTGGCCTTTATTTACAGAGGTTGTCCAGTAAATTGGCCACATTTATGAGGCTACGCTAGCTGGAATTACCCAGCCCTAAACGTTATTAAAACAGTATTGAGAGTCCCAAATTTTCGGACAAACGCCAAGGGTGCTACACAACTGTTGGTGGTAATCTAATAGGCCTATGTCTTATAATTCAGCCCTATCTTAGAGAGTACAGCACCCTCTGTTGATATGGATTGCCGCCGGCAAACCTTTAGTAAACGTTAGCTTGCTGGCATTACCTCCAGCAATATATCGGTACAACTATAGAATACAGGGCCACTTCACTCTACATCCGCGCCTCCGAGAATTGCGCCCTCTATCGGCGCGCGTCACTGCGACTCCGCGAGCATCACTGCGACTCCGCGACTCCGCGCTTCCGCGACTCCAGTGCCCCGTCGCCCTCCTCCCTTCCTTTGAGAGGAAATTAAAAATGGATATGGATGCTTCGTTCTCAAAAAAATACCGCCGAGAATTGCGCCCTCTATCGGCGGTGCGCGTCTCTGCGACTCCGCTACTCCGCGACTCCAGAGTCCCCCTTCCGCGACTCCGCGACTCCGCGACTCCAGTGCCTCGTCGCCCTCCTCCCTTCCTTTGCGAGAAAAATAAAAATGGATATGGATGCTTCGTTCTCAAAAAAATACCGCCGAGAATTGCAACCTCTATTGATGGCGCGCATCCCTGCGACTCCGCGACTCCAGTGCCCCGCGTCTCTGCAAACTCCGCGCCTCCGCGACTCCAGTGCCTCGTCGCCCTCCTCCCTTCCTTTGCGAGGAAATTAAAAATGGATATGGATGCTTCGTTCTCAAAAAATACCGCTGAGAATTGCGCCCTCTATTGGCGGCGTGCGTCTCTGCGACTCCGCGTCTCTGCGACTCCGCGCCTCCGTGTCTCTGTGCCCCGACACATTTACAAGCGCGCCCTTCCTTCCGATCATTGATGAGAAGACAAGTGCATTCGCTGTACTTAGCGCTTTTTGCAGGTTTGCATATTATTATATTGTAGCCTATTACTCCTATCCTCACATCGCCGGCCTCGATCCACGCCTCCAAGCAGACAAAAAAACGTTGCTCCGGCGTGGCCCTGCATTCTATAGTTGCTCCAATATATCTAGGCTAGCCCCACTAGTGTGGCCGTCGGTATGCTGCGCTGAACCTAAGGCCACACACCGTGGTCCGCGCACTACTGAGGACGTTTTCATAAAATTTGCAGGGAATTTCTTACATATGGTTGTATGCTACGATGTCCCATCTATCACTTCTAGGATGCTTAGGTGTAATGATGTTCAATTTTCCAAGATATTCTTGAATCTTTCTGGAGCCCATATGCACTCGTGAAACGTCCGGTGATGGCAGCCATTTTGAATGTGACAAGAGATGACCTCAAGCTGTGACGTCGCGTTTATGCAAATTGCTTGTCGAGCGAGGGCGTGAGTTGCAAATGCGACGGCTGTTACCTGTACCATGCATTTATCGTCTGGGGGCCACGTGCACTGATCTCTATTCAGGATCTACGGCCACACTAGTGGGGCTATATCTAGGCCTACTATCTTTTTTTTATATCAATTTGAAAAGGAAGATTTATACAACACAAAAGACAGGACAATTCGGGAAAGTTAGTGGGCAATCTCTATTCCGAAGGAGAAACATGGTAAGTACTGCGATAATACTAGGGCAACCCATCCTACTATTACTTAATTATAATACTACTAGTACTTACAAAGCTTGTATGCTTGGAATTAGACAGTGCTGCCATCTGTTGATCAGGGATACGACATTCTGAATCCTGGGTAGCCACATCAACCGGGTTAGATGCTACATCTCTCACTTGTCTGCGTTTACTTTTCACCTGTAGACGATTTCTTACATGTCTTTTGTGCTTAACGTTTGTCATGTTTCTTGTAGAAGAAAAGTCATTCTGACTGTACATCCCATCAATGCTTGTTGTGAATGTTGACTTCTTCATGTTCATGTTGATGTGGTTTCGTCGTACATGTAAGTTCATTTCCTTCGCACTTTCAGAGTACGTTAAATTTGCAAATAACAGCATAAACACAGAAAAACTTACATAACTTAGTATGCTTGATCGGTTAGCCATTTTGAAGCCTATTTCTTACCCAGCCATGCCACGAACCATCCACGCGGACTCTGGCGCTAGCGCTGTATGTACACGATCCTTGCTTTGCTACCAATAGTACCCCGGGTGACCGTAAGGTCATGACATAATTCTGCTAAATGCACTTCAAGAATCTGTCAGATTTGTCAAAAATCTGCCAAATTCCCCAGAACTACTCGAAAGTCTAAATACACTATAAACACTTAAAATCACATGCAGATGTTGTAATGTTGCCTTAACTAATGTTCAAATTATATCATAAACAATCTGTAACCACATAAAGATAATATGAAATTTCGTAAATTTCAGGCAATTAACATGCAGTTGCGTCACAACGAAATCCGGTTCCCAGTGAACCTCAGCATCTAGACCAGGCAACCTGTCTTATTTTGCAAGGGTTTGTTTGAAAAGATTGAAGCTTTTGTAAATAAATGTACCATTTTTTGGCAAATTTGCTGTTTATCTCTGTCAAATAACCATTTTGGCAGAATTCTGCCAGATATCTTGCCAAAAAATCCATTCTGTCAAATTTTCTGTCAAACTCCTTTTTTAACCAAAAATCTGTCAAAGTTAGCCGAAAATAGGCTAAAACGGTCACTGTGCATGTGCCACTGGCCAGGCCCGGCCAAAAGTATGTAGAGGGCGCTATACAACCATGTATGCGGCATAATAAAACCATATCATCATCTGCGTCAAATGTCCTCCTCTGCTCCCTGTCTGATGCCACGTGCCAGGTGTGTCGATCTTTGACGTTGACCCCCGTGGTTGTCAGGTCCTTGTTTTTTTCTATTCAGCCACGTGGTTCGTTGTCCCCCTCTTGGCAGCTTGTTCTTGCGGATTGCCTCTAGAAGTGTTTGCTTGGCAGGAAGGGATTGGGACTGTGTCTGCGTGTAGTAACTCAGTGTGATCCTGAAGAGTGAATGGTGTCTCGGGTGTTTCTGGGTCAAGTTGTCTCAGTGCTTTTGCCACTGGTATAGAGTGAAGAGAATGGGACCTAGGCAGTCTCCTTGACGCACGCCAATGTTGGTTTTGAAGGGCTTACCCAAGATAGTTCCCACTCTGACTTGTAATCGAACGTCTCTAAGCAAGATTGCCAGTAGGCCTAAGTGGAGTTCTATCGGCTGTGATGGCCTTCTCTGCTAAGAACTTTAAGGCAAAGACCTGCTCAGTGGTGCCTCTGCCGTGTCGATAGGCTGCTTGGGAAGCTAGTATGTGGTCGTCTAATCTGTCGGCGATTCTCTTCGTCAAACAAATGGCCATTAGGCCCCCCAAAAAATTAAAATAATAGTCGGTCTCTGGTCAGACCGAAGTTCCGGAATTGATGCGGCGACGCGTTGTTTTTTTTGGGGGGGAGGCGTTTTGTTTTTTTTCAAGCTTGAATTGTATAGACAAGGTGGGTACTATTTTGCTTTTTTGTGTCCTCATTATACATTGGTGTCCTCCATAATTTGCCTTGGTGCCCTTTAACATTTGCCTTGGTGCAATTTCCCCATTCCTTGGTGCTCCTTGGTACACAAATTTGAGGAGGTGCGGCAATAGAGGGCGCTGTTGTAGTTTCCGTTTTAAGGGTGCATACCTGCAAATAAACTCCCATAGACACTAGTGCTAAATGCCCATACTTCAAAATTCTTTTAAAAATACTCAAAACTCTCACAGGTATTCAAGCTGCACAGAAAAATGATGATCAATGTGTCATCTTTCAATTTCTTTTCAATTTATGGTGGGTTGACCATTGACTTTTCGAGATATTATCACGCAAAGAAGACGACCCCTATTTTCCCCAAAGCGGAAAAGTAGCCATCTTGAAAAACGATCCCTCCACAACATGGCAAAATAGCGCCACTTTCGAGCCCAATATCATCCAAAATGCTCAGAATTGGAAGCCCCAAGTCCGGGCCAGAGGTTCACTACCATATCTCTTCAATTCCCCAATTTTACGGCGCTCAGAACTCTCTAATATTGAATATTTTGAGGGTATAACTTTTATTCATGAGCTTGGCGGATCGATTTACCGGTGTGTACCCTTAATTTGAAGAAGAAAAAAAAGGTTGACGCGCATGATTAAAATCGACGCGCGCGCTGACCAGAGACCGAGTATTTTTTTTGGGGGGGGGGCTTTATGATTTTCCGGATAATGGTCAGGAGAACGATTGGCCTTATGTTTACTGAGGGTCCCTTTGGTTTGCCTGGCTTAGGAAGAGGAACGAGAATACCTTCTTTGAATAAAACCTAGACACGACATGAAAACTGCGCGTAAATCGAAGCCACATGCATGATAATGGACCGATCCAGTAAGCACCGCCCCATGGTATTCTGACCAATCACAGCCGTGATTTATGTCCGACGTGCGTGCACAAACGTCCGACATGCGTGCACGCGCGTATGATACGCGCGGCAGGAAAATGCAGTGTGGCATTGGAGAGCAGCACGTGTTAATTTGCCCACGTGCGCAGTGGGCGGGGCTTACTGGATCGGTCCATTCGCGTTGCGCGTCAGGCCGCGTGACGCAGCCCTTTTGCTCACAGAATTCACAATAAAAGCAGATAGGCCTAATGTCGTTTATTATTACTGACATACAGATCCTAGTCATTTGATTGGTGGAACTCACATCACGTGACATTCGGCTCAAAAGTACTATCCGCCCCTATCCGCCCATGGGGAATGGGAAATATTATACAACACCTGAATAAATCCCCGTCATCTGATTGGTGGAACTTTGATCACACGTCATTGAATTATTCGTACAAACGCACGGCGCGCGCGTGGCGCGCAGCGCACAGTGCAATGGAAGTTCCGCTATTGCACTGTGAATAGAACTTCCATTGCACTGTGTCACTGCTGTTGGTGGTGGCGCTGTTTTAAATCGGGATAAATAGACCGCTTGCAGACGCGATCGATAATTGACGCGCGAAGGTGCACGACGCCATGTTATGGGACAAAATGTGCATGGATAGATATACGCCTGTCCCACAACATGGCGTCGCTCGCCTTCTCGCGTCGATTATCGAACGCATCTGCAAGCGGTCTATTGAATATGATTGTTCTCAACCTGTTGAACAGTGTGCATTAATATATTATAAATATGATGAACTTGTCGAACTTTTAATAAGTTTTTACCTGAATAAATTGGCTATTAAAAGTCAACCAATCAGATGACAAGGATTTATTCAGGTGTTATATAAACAAATAATGAATGTTTCACGTTCGTGCAATGGAAAGAATAATTTCATTTGGTGACAGATGAGATGTTCCATTCCACTCGGCTTCGCCTTGTGGAATGGAACATTCCATCTGTCACCTCATGAAATTATTCTTACCATTGCACTCACAAAAGTATTTGTATATTATACAACACCTGAATAAATCCCCGTCATCTGATTGGTGGATTGTTGATCACATGTCATTGAATTATTCGTACCAACGCACGGCGCGCGCGTGGCGCACAGCGCTCAGTGCAATGGAAGTTCGGTTGCACGCTGAATAGAACTTCCATTGCACAGTGTCACTGCTGCTGGTGGTGGCGCTGTTTTAAAGTGGAGATGAATTAAATATGATTGTTCTCAACCTGTTGAACAGTTTGCATTAATATATTATAAATATGATGAACTTGTCGAACTTTTAATAAGTTTTTACCTGAATAAATTGGCTATTAAAAGTCAACCAATCAGATGACAAGGATTTATCAGGTGTTATATAAAACGAATAATGAATGTTTCACGTTCGTGCAATGGAAAGAATAATTTCATTCGGTAACAGATGAAATGTTCCATTCCACTCGGCTCGCCTCGTGGAATGAAACATTTCATCTGTCACCTCATGAAATTATTCTTACCATTGCACTCACAAACATTTATTATTTGTGTACTATTCGCAGCCGGTGTAGCATGAGTTTAGGTTTTATAAAATATGGACTCATTGGTGGTATTGCGCATGCTTATGCATAGAAAGTTAGGAGAGGGACCGGTCACTTTTCAAAGGGAAAAAGAGTCCGATTTTCATACGAGTCCGATTTTCATATGACACCGGGCTGCGATATTTGTTTACTATCTGGGGCACTTTTTGCGCTTTCCGATGGAGCATGGTTTATAATGACCAGGCTTGAGAGGAGTTATCGTTTTCAACTTGGTACGGATTTCGGACTTTATTTCCCTTTAAGAAAAGAAAAAGGAAATTGCTGCTATACAAGTAGTATCCGACTGAAAAATATCGAATAATAAGATAAAACTTAAATTGTTGAAAAAAGAGCAAAATCTGAAAGGTGCAGAGCAAGGAATCGAACTCAGGACCCAGCATGCCTAACCACTACGCAACGGCGATGCTCTAACAAACTCCGCAACTCAAGCCTAGACTCCATGGGCGCGCGCGTGCGCGTTCCTTCACTAACCCCTGGCCGTGATGTACACGTAAACATCATCTAGGCGTATACGTCAAGTAGATCTGACATCGCGCACTCTGTAAGTGTCCTCCTCTGCTCCCTGTCTGATGCCACGTGCCAGGTGTGTCGATCTTTGATGTTGACCCCCGTGGTTGTCAGGTCCTTGTTTACTCTCTTCAGCCACGTGGTTCGTTGTCCCCTCTTGTAAGCTTGTTCTTCAAATTAGGTTTTGCCCTTCACCGACGTTCAAACACTGTATACTCAGTGTGTCACCTCCCGAGTGAAAATTGGGAAAAAAATCACTTGAGTGGGACTCGAACCCACGACCCGCCCTCTAGTGCAGACGTCTTACCACTCGACCACCGAGCCAACGGGACCGGTTGGCTGGTTCGAATCTGATGTACAATAGCAGCGGGTACCGCATGAACTATTATAAGATGGAATTTTGCGTCGGGGTGATATAAATCAAATTAGGTTTTGCCCTTCTGTATCTGTATCTGTATCAGTTGCTCCAGCTTAACGGTAGAATCCGCATCCCGCTAGAGTTGGGGCGGCTGTGCTGGAGCTAATTTACTTGAGTTTTGGTTCCCTCCCCGATGACGTGGTTTACTAAGGCTTGTTTAAACTGGTTTAAGTCGGGTATGGTGGTGATATATGTGTTTGGCAGGTCGTTCCAGATGGGGATCGTTGACGGGTAGAAACTGG